AGTGTCCAGTGACCACGGACATTGACACTGAGCCCTGTCACTGCATAGCCACAGGCTTGGCTCTCAGTGGCAGCTCATGTTGGGACCTCACCATGGCTCTAAGTGGCAGGGCTGGCCACTCATAATGGGCTACTCCTCTCCGCCTCAGGGCTCCAGCTCCATCTCTCTTTATAACACTCACACCGCTCCACTTCCCTTGAGTTTTATGAATCTTAGGCATAAAACAGCTTTGGCCACCAAGCCAGACATCAAGATAGGATGAGCAAAAGACTGCCAACTGCTCTGCCACTGACTGATATAAGAACACCACCACCAACAAGGTGTCTCTTTGTCCACTGCTGAGGGCCGGGGATGGGGGGGGGAGTCACAGATGCTTAATGTTCCTCTTATAGTTTGTTAAGTTTGACATTTGTCATCTCTGTACATGAAAACCTATGATATGGTTGTTATCAAATGTCTAGTGCATGCCAGGCACTGTGCTGAGCACCCAGGGGCCTTGTGAATGAGATGGACAAGATTTCATTTCTGCCCCCACTGAAACAAAGGGTTCACACTTAGGAGTGTCAATAGCAGCTGCCATTTATCTGTTTGTACTCTGTGTCAGACACTGAGCACAATAACTGATTTTCAAGCAGTCTTTGGAACAGAGAGGTTTTGGTTTTTAAAGGAATTGGCTATAATTGCTGGGGATTAAAGTGTAAAGCCCCCAGTGAGTGTCAGCCCACAGCAGTGGTCTGGGAAATCCAACTCCCATAGCCATAACTCAGGCATCTGATTCTTAGTATCACACATTGATGTGTTTGAGTATTTTGTCTTCTGTGTATTCGTGTGCACCATATGCATGCTTGGTGCCCTTGGTGGTCAAGGAGGGCATCAGATGCCCCAGCCCTGGACTTCCAGTTAGTGGCCTCCATGTGGTTGCTGGGAACTGACCCTGGTCCTGTGCAAGAGAAGCAAGGGCTCTCAAGCCCTGAGCTATCTCTCCAGCCCTGCATCTCTTTCTAACTCCTCGATGTCTTCTTGGTGCTCAGAACAGGTGGTAGGTGTTTATTAAGAAAATGACGAGGTAAAGAGTAAAAGGCAGTCACCTCCTCAGTAAAACAGAGAAGGCATGGAGTCACCTTTGTCTCTGGGGGAAGTGGTGACACATGAAACATGAAGAAGAGAAACGGGCCAGTCTGTGGCAAGCACCTTCTGGCTCTGTCGGCACACTCCAGCTACTCACAGTGTGGTGTCACAGAGTACCCAGAAAGGCCCTAATGTTCCCACTTCAGTCCTGGAAATGTTCTGGGACTTAAGAGTCTTAACATGAACCACACAGCACACTCCTAACTATGTTTGCATTTTGTAGGAAGAGTGACTTCAGGGGAGTCTGTGTGGAAAGGATTGCTGTCTACAGCTTTTCCTGTACAGCTTGGTTTACATTGTATTTGCACAAAGGTCACTTCACATGAGCTCACATACATCTTCATGGGACATAATGTTACAGCCACCAAGCCAGATGAGCCAAGTTCTCTGACTGCAGGGGACTAAGCCTGAGTGAACACAGGAATCTGTGTCCCCACTGTGAACAAGAACAAACAGGTTCTGAGCAAGAAACTGGGGCACTTTGATCCCCAGATCATTTCTTCACTTGCTCACAACTCCCTGCCTTTTTGTTGTTGTTGATGATGTTGTTGTTGTTGAAACCTTTGTTGTCTAGTGATTGGTCATGTCTGCTTAAAGGTAAATGTTCCTGTAGACTCTCTACCAGAGTTATAAATCCTTTCTTGAGCTGAAGAAAAATAGTATTCATTTAAGTTGGTGGCTTCAGGTGATCATGAATTCAAAGTCTGACTTATTAATGAAGATATCCTCCCTCACATTTTCTCTCTCTCTCTCTCTCTCTCTCTCTCTCTCTCTCTCTCTCTCTCTCGCACAATCATACAATGTCCACAGGTTTGTTCATACAAACTCACCTAACAAACAAACACACACACACACACACACACACACACACACACGCCCATTCCTAACACACACCTCACCTCCACACACTGTCCCATGTGGACACACTGACCAGATCCCATACTTCTCAGCTTGGCCACACAAACCGTGGGTAAAGGCTCATTCTCCCATGGGCAATGGATGATGGCTGTATGGTTCTACATAGCAGGAGGGCAGGGCAGGGCTTCACAGCCGGTAGTAATTTTTCACACCAACAAAGACACCATTCTTCCAGGTTCTGACAGGGAGGGATGCCAAGGTGGAGTAGGAGAAGGAGCTGGAAGGACACAGTGGCAGTGTGGAAGTTGGGCTCCATTCCACAGCTCTGTTGTTACTGGAAGAGTTGGACTCAGGGTGAGGGTGCCTGTGTCTTATTACCAGGGACCAGTGTTTCATTCTGGTGGGGACCAGTGACCCTTGAAGACAATATGAACGAGGAAGGCATATGACCTTATTGGAGCAAATGCTCTTGAAGCAGCAACTGCCCTCTGTCACCTCCACCACCCCCTATACCTTTAAGGCCATGAGAGTTGCCTCTGAGCAGTATCTGGCTGAGAAAAGCTGCCAGTCTCCAGTCTCCTGGAGGACAGGGTGCTGCCTGGATGAACTAAGTCACCGAGGGCTCTGGTTCTGGGGAGCCAGGCTCTGAATGAGACCCCCCTGATTGATTTGTGCCCTCCCTGGGAATGGAGAATGTACAAAATGGCTTAACCTGGGGCAGAGCAAGGAAGAGCCAGTCCCGGGGATTTCCCTCGGCCACATTCTTATAGGGCTCTGCTAGGCAGGCAGCCAGCCACAGCCCGGAGTGAACAGTTAGGTGTGTGAGGTTAACTCCACCACACACCTACAAATGTGTTTCTCTTATAGCCCCCCCCTCCCCTGAGAAATACACCTTCTGTCTACGGATTGCCCCTTGTATGGAGAATGTATTGCATTTTTTATTCTCTCTAAAGTCACATGTCGGTATCTTACTATAAGCAGGGAAGTGCATAGCAGAAGGTCCTGATGTGAGGAGTCACTAACAGCTTATCCCAGCTTCCCTCCCCATGTCACCTGTCTGGAAGGAGAGCGAGGGCAGTCCAGAGATACTGTCTGGATGGGAACTTGAGTTCTGCAGAACCTGGGAGAGGGCAGTGGGTTTCCAACAGATGCTAGAGTTCACCACATACCTCATAGGCACTGGAGAGACACAGAAACTGCTTTCTCAACAACAGAACACGTGTGGCTCTCTGCACGTGGGTGGCTCGGAGGGCGTGGATGTGTTTTGGGTGTGTCTCAAATGGAGCAATGCTCCCCTCCCCCCTTACTGGACCAAAGCCAGCCCTCCTGTGCTGTTGATTCTCTCCCCTCCGTTTTTTGTTTATGAATAATCTGGGAAGGTGATTCCGTTTGTCTGAGATGAGGATCACTCAGAGGCTTTGGGGAGGAAAGCAGTGCTGTTTCCACAAGCAAACTCATGGGACAAAGTCAGTGGGATACCTGGAAGAAAAGCTCATGGTTTCAGCCCTGAATTTCTGAGCACACCTCTCCCCATGGACCAGGTAGCTCATTGCTATGCAAAATTGAAGGGATGGATTATAGGATGGTGAAAAAAATCAACATTTTGCTCACACAACCAATAAAATAACCTCCAAGGTAGGCATCATTAACATTTAATAAATCCTATTAGCAGTGGTGGCACATACCTTCAGTTCCAAAGCCTGGGAGGCAGAGGCAGGTGGGTCTCTGTGAGTTCAAGGCCAATCTTATTTACAGAGAAAGTTCCGGGACATCTAGGGCTACACAGAGAAACCTTGTCTCAAAAACAAACAAACAAACAAACAAACAAAACCCCCCAAACCACACAAAAAAAAAAAACCCAAAAAACAAAAACAGAAGTAGTAGTAGTAGTAGTCATGGTAGCAATTCCTTGTTTAAAAGTCAGAAAACACTCTTGAAGACTTTCTTTAAATTTTATTTTCTTATCCAAAGAGGTAAACCAGAGACATGATTTAAATAGGAAAAAGACAAAATAAGGTAGATATTGAGATGACTTTCTCCTAGCTCAACCCCACCCTCAGTGAAAGATTGATCAGTATTATACCAGGTGGGAAAGAAGTCCAGACTTCCATTACACAAATAAACACTTTAAAGATCTTTCATTTTTTTTGTGTACATGTATGAATGTCTCAGAGAATAAATGGAATTATTAAAAGTAAATCATGAAAATTCTGAAATTCCTTCATTTCACAACTCATCCAGCCAGCCTTGGTTTTTCACTTAACATTGAAGCCTGTCGCTGTCTCCTTTGTACTTTTAAAGCTGCCAGGGTTCCACAGGGTGGAAATGCCAAGGCTTATTTACAGAATTCCCTTTAAGCCAATGAGATCACACTTTGTAATGCTGCAAACCTTTAGTACAGTTCCTCATGTGTGGTGACCCCCAATCATAAACTTATTTCGTTGCTACTTAGTAACTATAATTTTGCTACTATAACTAATCGTAATGTAAAAATATCTGATGTGACCTTCTAGGGTAGCAACCTTCAGGTTGAGAGTTTCTGCTATAGACCAATTCTTTTATTGTTGCTTTTTTTTTTTCTGTAACAGTGACTCAATAGATACCTTAGTTACTTTCTCTTGCTGTGATAAGACAGCATGATCAAGGCAAGGTAACCCATGGAAGGAAGGGTTTAATTGAGGCTTACACTTTCAGGGGGTGAGAGGCCAGGACCACCATGGTGTGTGGAGCATGACAGCAAGCAGGTAGGAATGGCTTGGGAAGCACTTACATTTGATCTACAAGCGTGAAGTAAAGAGAGAGCTAGCTGGGATTATCATAGGCTTTTGAAACCTCAAATTCCACTTCCAGCGACACACCTCCTCCTTCCCAAATGGTTCCAGAGACGGGGACTAACTACTCAAAAATCTGAGCCAGTGGGGGCCATTCTCATCCAAATCACCACAGCAGACCATGCTGTACATATGTCATCATACACAGGATAAATCCCCAGAAATACGACGATCGGCTCAAAGGATAAATGCATTGATAATGACAGTTATAAAATCCCTCCGTGTGGTGAAGCTCAGAGTCACCCCTGTGGCATTCTATCAGGATTAATAACAATGTAAGAATGTCTGAGACTCCACAGCCTTGTCAGCTTTGTGTTGACAAGGTTTGGAATTGTTTTCAGTCTGATAAGTGAGAATTGTAGCTCTCTTGGTGTAGTATAACATACACTTCTGGAAGACACTGCACATTTTCTGTGCACTGTCTCTTCCGTTGCTCATTTTTCCACTGTTGTATTAGATTTTTGCTTTTGGAGCTGTAGAAGTTCATCTTGTATTTATGTATTAGGAAGTCTATGTTATGAGTTCCATT